AAGTGACAGAGAAGTTCAATGTAATATCTATCAAACCCAAACTTTTTTTTTTGCAAAAAAAGAAAATCTAACTGTAAAATTGAAAAGAATTGTCACAGACCCTGAATAGCCAAAATAAAATTTAAAAATTTTGAGGACCCATACTTTTTTATTTTAAAATTCAATACAAAGTTCCAGTAATCAAGACAATGTAATATTGTCATAATAACAGATGGACAAACAGAAAAACACCCTAGAGATAGATTCTCACATAATGGTCAATTTTTTTTTTTTTTTAACAAGGGTGTCAGGACTATTCACTGAAGAAAAGATGGTGTTTTTCACAATGCTTTTTCATTTTCATGCTGGGGAATAAAACATAAGTGTGTTATTTTAAAATTATGAAGGCCTTTGCTTTAGTGCTGACAATCCTAACAAAAAGTTTGTTAATTTGAGGTGAACCCGAAATTTCTATGCTCTGGAGAAGGAAACAATTCTAATTTATATTTCATAAGACAGAGACGGGTCTCAGGAGTTTCAGGGTCATTGGTCAGTGGGCTAAGTACATCCCACTTCCCACCGCAGTTGTTTTCAGTTCACATTCTCTCCCCACAGCAATGGCTTTGAGGAGATACCCACTGTAAAAAGAACAATACTGATTTTTATTCTAACATCTACAAACTGGTAAGTTCAGGTTTGGGCCCAGGAGGGTACTTGAGAGAGGCGGTGGTGGAGGAGGACAGGACTTCTGGGTCAGCCTATCTACATTCAGGAACTACAGGGACTGAGCCTTCCGCGATGCATTAACCCCTAAGTTTCATTCACCTGTGAGTGGGTGAGGATGAAGTAGTGTGTGTGCAGCTCTATACACTGCATGGATCACAGAGGGCATTCATCAGAAACACCCTGACTACTCACAACCCCAGAGCAGGACACTGAAGTGACATCACATGCTGACCCACCTCCTGGTACCTTCGGTGCCCCCAAATCCAGACCTAAAGAGGATTCTGGTTGGAAAGGACAATTTTTCCTTACATTAGCCCTTCGAAAATCACGCTCAAGAGGGGCGTGACAGCATGAACCACCAGAGCCTGGAAAGCTGCTGGGAGCCGGAGCCACAGTACAGGAAATCACAGCGACTGGAGCGCACCGTGCTGAGACTGGCGGCCGGTGGCGCGCGGGCGAGCAAGTCTTCCCACTTCTCTACAGTAAGATTACACTTCTACATGGCTGAAAGGAAACACAATCAATTCCAGGGTCGCACGCGAACACCAAGCGTTAGGGAACATATCCAGCCCACTGTTAGCGCCGCCCAGGGCTGCTTTCCCACGGCAGGGGGCGCAGCTGCAAAACACACAGGGCTCAAATATGTAGTCTGGTTCCAGAACCAGGGGCTATGAAGGACAATCTTCTGAGAGGAGATCCTCCTGTCTGAAGGGACCTGCCCTCCAAAGCCTAGAGGCTGGAAAGCTAAGACGTGGCTCTGCTTTTTACGCTCCTAGAGAAGGAGTCCTTGCTCCCAAGTGTCCACTCGAAAGGAAAGCATACCAATAAATTGGCTCTATGGACTTACAAAAAAGTCCCTGACAGTCTTCCCTCTGGTCAGATATAGATCTGCCGGGAAAACAGTGGAGAGAGGCCTGTTCCAGTTTACCTACAGTTACTCAACAGGTCATATATTTATCAACGTGAATCACCACGAATCAGGGACCACCAACATTTAAGGAAATACGAGCATGAAGAATGCTGAGGAAAACAACTGACCACAAAAAGCAACCCTAGAGAAATCACAGGTAATTCTGGCCAGGGGGTAATACAGAAAAGAATTCTATTAAATGCCTTCAGAGATTTGGGAAAGACATAGAATCTAAAAAACCATATGGAAGAACAGAATGAAAAGAACACCGGAGTTCAAAGAAATATAACAGAGATGCTTGTCTGCACCCCGCCACCAAAGATAAAAAGGCTGGAAGAGGTAAAGAAACAGAGGACCAGCCCACAGGGGTGGTAATCCCCGCAAAGAGGTTCCAGGAGAAGAGAGACTTCTCTCCCCTCCAGACACCATCCTCTAGTCACCCCAACACATGCACCCACAGGGGGGAAACACCCGTCCTGAAAGGCAGCACACTCTGTTTTGATGTACATGATGTTCCTGGACACAGCTGTGCTAATTTGTCTACATTTTCTCTCTGACTGCTTTGTCATAGAGAAGTTGGGATACAAAGCCTAAATACTCACTATGTGATCTTTTATAGAAAAACATTTGCCAAATCACTTTTTAAAGATGATGCTAGAGGTTGAATCCAGGGCTTCTGCACTCAGCTATATCCATAGCCCTTTTTTTATTACTTTGAGAAAAGGTCTCACTAAGGTCTTAAATTGTCCAGGTTGAGCTGGAACTTCTGATCCTCCTGTCTCAGCCTCCTGGAGAGCTGGGAGTAGAGGCATATGCCACCATGCCTGACTAAAATATAACTCTAAATAAAGCTCCTTCAAAATTAATCAGATAGAAAAGACATGAATTTGAAAAGTCTAAGACAAATGAGAACCTATCACTACAAAAAGACAAGAGATTATACAAGAATCCAATGTCAAGAATGCAATTAATGCTATCAAATTTGAAACGTTAATTTAACAGTTACCATTCCTAAAAAGTACAAATCAGACAGTTAGAATAATAAGTCAGAAGAGTCATGAATAATTTTTAAAATTGTGTCACAGACGACTCCAATTTGGCTCTGGATTATTATTTCTTTTTTTTGTGTGTGTGTTTTTCGTTTATCGGTACCAGGGATTGAACTCACGACTGCCTGCTTGCAAGGCAGGTACTTATGCCACTGAGCTAAATCCCTGGCCCCTGGATTATTATTTCTTATAGATACATTTACCTGACAATTCTACTTGAACCGAAATATGCCTAATGTTCGAGGCACACTTCATTACATAATCATTCCATGGCATATGTACATAATCATTTTAGATTTTAATTTATGTAAGTACTCACTTGCTCTGGGAAGTTTTGGCTCACCCCCAAATATAATTCAGTATTTTACTATTCTCAGAGATATTCTGAATAATCCACTATGATGGGAAATCATAATGAAAATTAGAAAAAATTATGAATGATGATGAAACATAGAATGCTAAAAGTGCTTAGAGAAAACTCACATCTTAACTGTATAACCTATTAGAAAAGAAATGTGGGAAATCAATGAAGTAAGCTCCTATTGAAAAACGGAAGCAGCCAAAACCTCAGCAAATGAAAACCAAGGCATGTGGAAGGAAAGAAATAATGAAGATAGCAGCAGCAATTAATGAAATAGAAAGTAAACATGGAAGTAAAAAAAAGCTGTCAAGTTAACTTAATTCTCTAGTAAAATCATGGGAAAGAAAAATACGTATTACCAATATTAGCAATCAAAAAATAATTTTTGTAAAAGAAGAAATCAGTAGAGTCACTAAAAAAGCAGTAGGAATTGCTTCTAGTACAGATGGGAGCAAACACACTGGAAAAGGTCAAAATAAACCCACCAGATAAAAATTTGGACAAAGTACAAGTATGTGACAGTTCTAGAAATTTAATGGAAACAGATAGATTTTGTTAGGGATTAGTTACAAAAAAGGTGGCCACAGGGCAAGTTCCCAGTTTTCCCTGATTTAATTTGAGGCAGCATGGTTCGGCATGGTTAAAATTAGAAAAGAAGCCATCTTTCTAACAAACCTGAAGAGTCACAGAGAACCGTGAAACGAGAATCCAGAGAGAACTGGCTGCTTACATAGATGGGGCTTTACTGAAAAAGTGACAATTCAGATCAGCCAGGAGGAAAGGAAACTGCCTCCCATAAAGATGCCGGTCTAACAGGAACCCATGGAGGAGGACCAGCGGACCTGTGGCCTGCCTCCCCACGGAAACAGAAGCAAGATTCTCCCAGGCGGCAGAGAGTATGTCAGAGTATTCTGATTGAAGCCAAAAGACAAGGATGTGAAAGGCAACCACAGACAAAAAGAATAGACAGATCCTTCATCAATGGGGACACCCAAATGGCCAATAAACGTATGTGCAGGTCTCAACCTCTTCAGCCAGATTCCAAAGACATCTGCACGTCAAAGCTTTCAGAAAGGCGGACAGGAAGGAGAAATACTCAACAGAAATTCCCCCACTCTCCTAGTAGGGCGAGTGTAAACTGGTAAGCTAATACTGAAAAAAACACTGGGCCACAAATGAGAACCTATCCAAATTGCTTTCAGCAAGAGCATGCATACTGAATTATGATGCATTTACATAATACTATACTGCAGTAAATCATCCCTAACTACATACTTTAAACAGCATTCATCAGAACGAGCCAAAGCCAAGAACACACACCGTATGGCTTCACATACATAAAGTTAAAAAACAAAACTGTGACCTAGAAGGCAGACTGTGGTTTCCTTCAATGAGTACAGTGCCAGGCAGGGGCAAACAACAATTATCTGAGGTCCAGGAAGGCCCTCGACAGTGTAGGCTCGAACTTGACCTCCATTCCTGCCAAGGTGTTGCCAGAATACCAGCAGCGGCCAGGAGTGACCTGCAGTCTCTCAGAGTTTACATGTCCAGGCATAAGTGTGAGACAAACTGCAGGGCTGTGGGGAGCTGCTACAAACCCAACGGAAGGGGTTGGAACCCCTCACCTCATGGGGTCCAGCTGTTTACTGCAACCACTACATGTTCTCTGGGCACCTTAAACTGGCTGCTTGCAGCAGAAGGTGGCCTAGTGCTCAGTTGAGGGCACAAAGAGATGGAGGGCCCACAAAGACATCAGAAGACAGGAGGGGTGTGGTGTTACCTACCCACAACCCCAGCACTCTGGTAAATGACACAGGAGAACTGCAAGTCCCAGCCCAGCATGGGTAATTAATTATTTAGTGAGGCTGTGCCTCAAAAATAAAAATAAAAAGTGCTGGAATGTAGCTCCGTGTGAAGGCCCTGGATCCAATCCCCCGTACAGCAAACAACAAAAACATACAAAAAAGTAAAATACCTGATTAGGAGTCTGGAGGTCAGAGATGTGACCTGGGGTATGGCTATAATAGTAACTGGAATGATGGGAGTGAATGAAAGCAGCCTATGAGATAAAAGAGAAAATGGTCTTATAGGATCTAAGATTTAATGGCAAAGAGAAAGAGAAAAAGTCTCATTTTCAGTTACACCTCTTAGCTAGGGAATGGGCCTTCCTTTCAAACACTGACCTCTGTGCTGTACCCTGGTACTCAAATGCTATGAAACTCTTAGGATTTTGTTTGGTCCTTGGTGTCTACTGCTTCACATCTCCCAACCCCTCCAGCCAAAACTATTACTCAGAAACTTGCTGTGCCTCCAGGAAACAAGAGCATCAAGGTATCACGGTCCTCATTCATGTCTTTTTGATTTTCCCCAGTATCTTATCTTCCCATTCTGTGTGTGTGTGTGTGTGTGTGTGTGTGTGTGTGTGTGTGTCTCAACAAAATCACAACTACAAAATCCTCCAGTAGCTTTTCTCTCATCATCCTCTGCTTCCCTTCATGACACATCTTTCTAAAACATACAATATTTTACTTTCATAGAGTGTTAAACTTCCTTTGTCGTTCACTTTTTTTTGATATGAGGATCAAACATTCACATCTATGAATTACAGTATTTCACATTTAAGTTGACTACACCAGAAATATCTGCCCTTAGCAGTTATAACAAATTTTCATTGTTAAATAAACACTTTCCAGTCTTTATTTTCTTTTCCTTTGTCCAAGTTTTAAATGGTGCTGCTTCCCAAAGTTTACTTGTGGTTCTTTCTCTTCTAAAATATGCATTGCCTTGGGGATCAACTCCCAGTCTGAGCCATTTACCTTGTATACTCCTTGAGTACTGTGTCTCAGAATAAACATAATTAAACAGATTGAAAACTTCAATTTATGACCCCTTTCCCAAAAACAACTGATATCACAACACACAATTCTGCTTTTCCTCCTTTTTTCTCTATCTTCCATAATCTACAAAGCTGCTGTAGGTGGACACTTCTAAGCTAGGTGAGAGGTTCTCCTCCCAACTTCCTTTTGTCATATCAATCCCACCCCTTTTAATGGTGGGTGATCTTTAACTCATTCTGTTCTCTTTGTCTCAGTTCCATGTGCAGCCACTTATATTCTTTGAGCACGTTTAGCTACTTCAGAAGGATCAAAAAAATCATTATGCCATTCTTTTACTCACAGTGTGTTGATGATTCTCATTTTCCATTATCATTAAGGGGAAAAACCCACAACCTTAAAAAAAAATCCTTTGCCTAACTTCTGCAGCATTTTCTTCTCTTAACCTCCCTCATACAGGGCTGGGGGGATGCAAGCCAGGGCAGAGCACCCGCCTATCACACACAGGGCCTTAAACTCAATCCCAAGTACTGTGTGCACACTTAAAAACCCACTCACAGAAATTACAGGAACCACTTGCACAGAAGCACAAACACATACCTCCTGCACAGCAGCCACCTCCTTCTCAGGAACAGCTCTCATTCTTTTTTCTGCTTTTGTCTTCTGCACATCCTTTAGAACTTGAACTAAGCTTCTCCCTTGTGAGAAACTCAGCCAGGCTCCTCTCTCAGCGGGAGTCAGGTGGCCACATCTGTCCTCCACAGCCCTTTACCCATCTGTCTCCCTGCTTGTGAAATTAAGTAGGACAGAGACTAGGCACTTTTTCTCCTATAACCTGAGCTCTTAAAACACTTTCTGGCACACCTGAACATGAGCCTTAACTTTTCCCTCCATGAATTCTTTATTCCAATGTTTCATATTGAGTTTTACCATAATTTGGCACACTTAATTATATATAACTATTTGGGAGAAAAGTTTTGTCTTTGTAAAAAAACAAAAACAAAAACAAAACACCCTGAGATTAAATGAATACATTCTGTAACAGTGTTATACCAGGCATATATCCTAATTCCATGCACACCTTGCTGGGTAAGTCATGCTTCCTGAATTACAATAAACTGTAAAATAATTCTAGCCACATGGTAAACAAACTATAACTTATTATTACCTTGAGAAAACTAAAAGATAGCATAAATATAGTAGGAACTAAGAGAATCTACAGTACACCAACTTATAAATCAATTATCTGTGATATTTCAAAGTGTTCAACTTGGCAAAAATACTCATGCTTTCATATGATATTGGACAACTTTATTACTTTTTCTTTTGGTCTCTCTAGTGCTTATATACTACACCTCAAAACTAGTACAACTAATGTTTGCTATTTAAGTGCTATATATATGGTTTTCTATGACTAAAGTGACAAGACAGATCTAAGAGATGTTACGGAACAATTTTGAGTGATTGACTGAAGATTTATATTGATGACAGCTACAAATTGGAAGTATGTTGATCAAGTTTTCAAGTTGATAGATTCCTAACCAGTAATGTATTATTTTTCTGAATATAATTCATTAGAAGGAAAAAAAGGCAAAAACTCTAGTCATTATTTAGCAACACTTATTACAATTTATCAACAGAATCAGCCAAAAAGTCACTGACATTCCAAAAGAATTCAGGGCCAGAATTTCAGGGAGGTTGGGATATATTTAAAAGGTATTACCAGGGCACAATGGAATGTGCCCATGGTTACAGATACTTGAGAGGCTGAGGCAGGATGACCACTTAAGCTATGAGGCCAGTTTGGGCAACAAAGTGACACAACTTTATCAAACAAGCAACTAAAAAGTTATTTAGTTGCTTTATCAAACAAGCAACTAAAAAGTTATCACTGATCACTGTCAAAGTCAAAAGTAATGCAGTAGTGCAGCCAAGATCTTGGAGTTCTTTTCACTTTAGACATCTGTCAGTCACAAATGCCTTTAAAAATACTGCTCCTCCAAATTCTGGCTTGAAAAAAAATATTTAAATCCAAAAACACAGTTCTAAATTACAGGGTTTTTCCATATAATTTATAATATGGTTAAGAAAGCTTTAGATTCACAGTGCACAAATAACAGAAAAATAAAGTACGCACATATCTAATTTCTTTTACCAGTTTCTTTTGGGGGGGGCGGGGCGTGAAACCTAAAGTATTTTCTGTTGTTTGCAGCTGGTTTAACAGCCAATGACAATTAAATGTGTGAACAAGGTTGTCAGAATAACACTTGTCATTCACACTGCTTATGGAAAGGCGCTCCAAGGCTTCCCGAAGCATTAATTAATTAAAATCAGCGAAGCTTCGCAGAGGTCCGGGTCCAGGTCTTCCCAGAGTCTCAGCATCCCACCCGCCGCCACCGCTCTGCGAGCAACTCTGGGCAACAGTCCTCATGCGCCAAGCCCCGCCGCCGCTCCGCGGATTTCAGAGGCAGGAGGGCTGGGGAGCCCTAGGCCTGAGGAGGGGGCGGCGGAGGTCTCCCTCCTCTCCCCGGGGCAGGGAGGAAGCGAACGTCCTGAAAGCTCGTCCGCATAGCTCTGAGAGCTATCCGCCCCGCCCACCTTCCTCTAACCCCCGCCAAAGAAAACTCGCCGAGTCAAAAGACAGCTGAATGATCTTACCCAGCTCCGGCCCGAAAGGACCCCGGAAGACCCTCCTCACCTAACACCCAAGGGGGTCTCACCTGCGCTCCGCAGTCCTTCGTCCGTACGTAGTGCATTTCAATAATACTTCTTGCGATTGGTTTACTTGGGAAGAAAGTCTCAGTTCTATTGCTACAGTAGAGAAGGGAGGCGGGACTTTATCTTGGACTCTAATTGGTTGTTTGTTCCCATTCCAAGACTTCCTATTGGGTTCTCACGGAACTCTCCAAGATGGCGGCAGTGTCAACCTGCGGCCCTGGCCCTGGGAATCGTGGGTCTGAGGCGGTGGCGGTAGACAGGAGCAGCGCCACTAGCTTCCAGAGGAGGGGTCCCAGAGCCGGCGGTACCGACGGCAGCGGCCTTCGCCTGGTGTCCATTGCGGGCACCCGGCCGTCGGTGCGGAATGGACAGCTGCTGGTATCCACCGGGCTCCCGGCCCTGGACCAGCTCTTAGGTCGGTTCAGATGGAGATCTGGGTCCGCCAAGGGAGGGGACGCCCGGCCTGGACCGCACATCTCGGTGCCGGTGCCGGTGCCGGTGCTGTATCTGTGTCTGTCCGTCCCTGGGAGAGGTGAGCCGAGGTCGTGCGCGTGGAGGCGGCGGAGCGCCTCGGGGCTGCCCAGCGCCGGCTCTGCGCCTTCTCCGGGCTCCAGCCTCCGGGTTCCTCCACTTTCTAGGCGAGGGAGCCGCTGATCGGGGAAACTGCCTAGCTTCCTTGTCTGCCAGGCAGCTCAGGGCTCGGCCGACCTGCAGAAATTTTTAGCACTGGCGGGAAAAGCATCCTTAGAAAAGGCTTTAAAAAGCATTTTTTTCCCCTTTCAGCGTCATGCTGTTTAGCTCTTGAAATTGGAAAACAAATCATGTTGGCCTTAAGAGAGTGTCTGGGTGTTTTGATGCAAAGTACTAGGTAAAGCCCGTCCTGGGTAGTTAGTTTATCCCCGTCTACGTTTAAGCGTGTAGGTGTGCCTGCGCGTTTGCCTCTTTTTCCAGATACATTTTGCTTCCTGAAGGTGATTGCTGATAATTGCCAAATGACTGGTTTAAATTTAATTCATATTGTAATGAGTAAACAAAACCCAGTTCTTAAGCTTTCTTCTATATGCATTTCTGGAACTTTTCATGAGATGCTTACTGAAAAATATGCTTGGTGACAGACTGTTCTATGGAAAGGCGAATCTGATTAGACCAGTGGGACAGAGCTGCCGTGTTAATAAAGCTTGTGCTCGCCGCCTGTTTCTTTTTCATAACGTGGGATGTGTCTGTTAAATCCGGTGCACGTTTATAATCTATTACAAATACCATTGCTTGTTCCTGAATTTATACTTATTTATCTCTGTAATTCACCCCTGTCCCCAGTTATTTAAATAGACAATACAGAGGGGAGTAGTAAAACAAGCAACCTTCCAGAAAAAGTATGGCTCTTTAATTATTTTATATCCTAACTGGAGTTTGATTCCACTTGAGTTTAGATATTTGCAGATAATGTTTTTTTTCAAATCTGGTGACCTTCTGAATTCTATGGTACTAAAAACGGATATGATTCAATATATATAGTTAAAAATACCCTTGTGTGCCTCATCTGGTATATTTTTTTATTAATTTATTTTGAGGCAGTCTTGTGTCCCAGGGTAGCTTCAGACTAGCAACCTGGTTTAGCCTGTGAGATTACACGCTGCTCCCATGCCAGTCTGTATTTTGTAATTCAATGGGATGTGTAACTTCATTCACTTTGATACCAAAACTCTCCAAACAAGAAGACCATCTTTTTGGCATTATGTCTTCTGTTCATTAAAATAATAAACTGTGCTCAACACAGTTCTTAACATTTAAGAGGTTCTTAGTAAGTTCCTGTTAAAAGTAGTGTATAGAAAAGATGATGCAACTTGTAGAATGGAGGTAGATGTTTGAGCTGTGAAAACAGATTCAGAAATTAAGTGGCATGACAGTCATAAACTCTTAACCATGTAGATTGCTTGTTAGAGTTCAAATTTATTGCCTTCTGCATTGTATTACAGCTTTATCAAATTTTTGAGAACTCTTTTTAGAAAATTTTGGCCATTTATTGAACCTAAATTTATGACTTAACTATAATCTCTTCAAGCATTCACCAGAGAGAAACTGAAACACCAAATATATTTTTAGAGATACAGACTTGAAAAATAATTTTTAAACTTTCCAGTTTTGCTTGGGGAGTGGGGTGCTCTAGTTTGACTGTAATAAGCTTATGCTAAAAAGCAGCATTTGTTTACATGATTGAAACAGTGTTCAATATTTTGAAATATATTTTGCATGTATGCAGCTAATTATAAAAGTACTTAGAATTTCAAGGACTTGTTACAACAGTAGTTACTACATTTGGAATAATAAATACGTCCAAAACTATTTCAGTTGTTGTAAACTTCTTAATGTTGTTTTTGTATTTCGACTTTCTGTTTTGTATGGTCTTATGGAGCACTTCCTATTGTTTTGTATTAAAATATTATTTGAAAGTGAAACATTGACTGATAATTATGAAAACCTAAGCAATTGAGACTGCACTGTTACTCTACAATGTTATTTGACCCAGATTGTGAGAAGTCTCACAAGTAATATGACCTCATTGTGATACAGTGTAACAATAGAATGATGAGACTGCTGTCACATTTTCACTTTCACCAGAACATATCACATGGTTTTGTGTAAGAAGTAAATATTGTATTATAACCAGTGGCGTTTCACTGATGCCACTATAACATCATTGTAATTTTAACCATAGATGTTGAATATATATGAAAGACATCATGCAAGCTAATTATTTGAAGATTCCCAATGTCTTTTAAACTTGATAGAATATTATTTTTGTTCAAACAACTTTATTTTATTGTTAGATTTTTGATACACACTTACCCAGGCCACTACATTTAAATTTTTCAGGTTCTTGGACTTCTTAATCCAAACTTGCGCCTTCAGGACATTTCTATTGTTCAAGGACATCACATGTAAATAACACACTTATATTTCAGAAAAGACAGGGCCTTGATTAGAGAGATACATTTTTCTTCTTCCAGGAATTCTCAAAGATTTTAACAAATAAATTTTGCCAAACCTAGAAGGTGCTGAAAAGACAGTGTCTTCACAGATTTGGTGACTTACGTTATGAGCTGAAATCTTGACAGTCAAATCAATGGCAGGTAGGAATTGGAGGTAAATAGGCGTACAAGAGTTTCTAGAAGAAACTTGGTAGGGTATCTGCCATTTCAACTTGGATTTCAGTCAGTAAATAATGGTGGCGTGTTTGCTTTATCTTACTCTGTGGCATGGATTAATATGCATCAAATTTGGGCTTTATTTAACATCCTGGTCACTGTACTGTAGCAACTGATACAGTGGCTTACATAGTTGCTCCTTTGTGACATTATGGAAAACTTTCCTGTGATGTAATGTAGAGGTACATCATTGGTAGCTGTTATTTAGATTCTGCTTGCTCAGCCAACACTTGTCTTACTCATTTTCCAGAGGGCGTTTCTTCTCCCAGAGGAAGAAATGTGGGTGCATTAACGATGAAGTAACTGTGATATAGTTGCAACTATGGCAGAAAGTAGTTAAGGAGCTGGTGCTCTAATCCCCATACAGAGACATGAGGATCCCAAGTTCAAGTCCAGTCGGGGCAATTTAGGACTTAGGGAGACCCTGTCTCAACAACAACAAAAAAAAACTGGGAATGTAGAAAAGACCTGGGCTTGATCCCACTACCACCACCAAAAGAGAAGTTAGGGAGATGGCCATGAACTAAAGAAGAGATACAAATGATCTTTTTTGAGTTAAAACACCAGTGGTAGAAGCCCTTTTCATTATACTTATAAAATCATAAGACAGGAAAGTCTTGGTAGTTAATCATACAATGATATTAAATTTCCTTGTGTGTTTTTAGTTATTTTTATTTTGTTTTATTTATATGTTTGTTTTGCTTTAAGACAAAATGTTTGCTCAGCCATCCATTCATTCAGTTAGAGGCTCTGCGACTCCAGCTCAGGACCTTGTAGCACCCTACAGAAGCACACCTTGAGATGCACCCCAGCCCTCAGTGCCGTATTTTGCAAAGTCATAATCTTAATGAATTAGATAGTTCAAGGTATCAAACATTCAAAGTATCTTCAACTTTCTGACACATACTCTTACATGTAAATAAAATACTTTGCCAATTTTAGAAATAAGCTAAAATTTACTTCAACAGGCCTAGAGGTAAAATCTAGAGTTTGTTCATTGATTTCAGAAGTGTGTTGGTTTTCTTATCAGTAAGGATGACTCTTTCACCCCTTTTTCATTTCTTTTCATAATGGTTATAATTGTCTCCTGACTCACATTATTTATCTAAAAAGTATTCTAGTGAAATACTGAGAAAAGAGACTTCCATCTTAACTAGAAATTATTAGTGTGAAATCGTTGATTTTAAAATTGAATTAAATTACTCATGGGTTACTATGTTCAATAGGGTAAAATCTAGCTTTTAAGAAATATATCATGTTGGGGCTGGGGATTTAGCTCAGCGGCATAAGCGCCTGCCTTGCAAGCAGACAGTCGTGAGTTCGATCCCCAGTACTGGTAAAAACGAAAAAGACAAAAAAAAAAAAAAAAAAAAAAAAAAAAAAAAGAAATATATCATGTTAACTATTGTGAGAAAAATTGTGATTGGTTGCTTGAGCTTTTTATTTATTACTTATGGCAGAATAGTTACAGATTTATTTCAACTTAAAATACCAAAAATCTAGAATCTGGGTATATTAAGTGAGGTATATCAAACTCAAAAAATATTTTGAGGAAATTTTGTGAGATCTTGTCTCACTAAAATCAAGTAAGGACCAGAGGTGCTACTACCTGTGTGTGTATGTGTTACATGAACACGTCAAGTCATTGTCACGTCATGTACAGAGAAACAAAAGTAAAAATCTTTAGTAAGCTAACTTCCAACTTCCTCCCCATCACCAGCCTCCAAAGTGACCTGATCTTATTAGAGCTAATCTGAATTTGAATCAAGTGAATTCATATGATAGAGTTCATTCAGAAGGAAAACTTGCCTTTTTTATGTGAGAGTTAATAAGATTAATTTGGCTAATAAAAGTCATTTAATATCTCCTTATCTCAAGTAATGTTCAAATTTCCCAAACATTAAAATTTTTAGATTTTAAGTTTTTGAGCAGTGTTTTCTTGAATTATCAGGGACAGATTATTGTTTGGATCAGTCTTACAGAAAATAACCTTCCTAACTTAGGTTTGTATAATGCTTTGTTTTATTAGCTCAGTGGTGGTGAACCTGTGGCATGTGTGTTATTGTGTTTTTCTTTTAAGACAATATAGTAATGTGTGAGCTTTTTCTAAACTAAAAGCTCAGTATTTAATTGTAGTGTTGGCACTTTGCGATAAATTGGGTTTGGAGCTGTAGTTGGGACACTAGGTCTTTAAAGGTTTGTCACCACTGAGCTAGTTCATCAATGAGAAGTATTCTTTCTAATTATCGTTGTGATCACCATTCACCAAATAACAATAAAATTGTAGCGATTTGTTCTGATCTGAAAGTAATTGCCAGAATGGCCAGCGTAGCTCTGATAAGTACCTTAGACAGACAGCTGTCCTAGATACTACCTGGCGTCTGAGCACCCCACTGTGAATGTACTACAAAATCCTTTAACTTTTCCAGTAATAACACATATAATGAGTTAAAGAAATAGATTGGTGGCTAACTTTTTTCTAGTACCAGCCCAGACACTTCAATATCTGTGGTTTATTTCATCTCCTTAAAGATACACAAAGTGGCTATTAGGGAATTAAATACTTATTTTTCCAAACAAAGTAAAGTAGGGAAATGTGAGACATTGTAAAGTGTGGTATAAAATGTTCAAAATGATTCAAAAGAGTTAATGGTAATCTATGTGTGCCACCAACTATGAAGTTAAACGTCTACCCAGGTCCCACAATAACCTTTATGATGCTGTCATTGTGTTTTGGTTCATACTAAGTTTTTTTTTTTTTCCGTACTGGGAATTGAACTCAGGACCTCACATTTGTCAGGCAGGCTCTGCACCACTGAGCGAAATCCCCGGCTCATGTTAATTTTTTTGTCTGAACAGTGCTAGAAGTTATTCTCTTTAGCCTAGGATGCTTTAAATGCTATAACCAAGGAATTTGTCCAAATGTGAAATTAAAATATATATTGTATTCTGATAAACCCATGTAAACATAACTTTTTTTTTTTTTTTTGTCTTTTTCCTTTTTATCGGTACCAGGGATCGAACTCAGGACTGCTTGCTTGCAAGGCAGGCGCTTATGCTGCTGAGCTAAATCCCCAGCCCCGTAAACATAACATGTACAAATCTTTTTTCTCTTAACTATTTGAAATGTTCCACATACTATTTTAAGATTGATTTCAGGTCTCAGCATAAATTAGTATAAGTCAGACAAATTTCAAGTTATCTGAAACATAGCAATTATTTATATGTATTTGCAAGGTTTAAAAAGCATTCAAAGGAACTTTGCATATTTTTTCTACATGATATTTGAAAGGTTTTTGCCCCAGACATGACACTGTGTGTGTGTGTGGGGGGGGAGGTGGAACTAAAGGGCTCTATCTTGAGGTCAGCTTTTCCTGCCCCTAGGCGATTTACCTGTGGTGTGAAATGAGGCTACCTGTGCATCACTAATGCCCCTTAGGCACCACCCCAAACCTAAGCTACAGGTATCCCCCCACCACCACCACCTGTCAGGCGGAGAATGCCACACCCCCTAGAGAATGCCAGACCCTGGAGGGTCAGGGGGTCTCTCCCCACATTCTTAAAAAATAAAGGGTCACTTTTATTTCATATTTCTTATCTTTTCAGCCACTCCAAAATCCTATCAGATGGTTCCCTTCTGTGCTGAAAAATTCTATCAATATTTACCACTACAAAACTTTTTGGGGGAATCAGTATTCTAAACATTTCTTAGTTTTGTGCACACACAGACAACACACACTAGTGACATTGTGTGCTGAATTTTGAGTAGTTTCTTTTTAGATTACATTTTAAATGCATTTCTCTTCAATTGTTGGCATACTTTTTAAAATTTGAAAGTGAATTTGTTAACGTTTTTTAGATTAATCAGAGATGCTAGTACTTTCACAAAGGAATGAAAAAATATCAGTGTACTATCATTTTATTGTAATTCTAGTTACTTAATACTTAAATGACTTAATGACTGACTACTTGAATTATGCATTTATGATTATATTTCCCTATTTCAGATATTTAAAAGAAAATTTTCTTGTGATTTGTCCCATTTTGTTTGAAATTGCAAAAATATCATTAATTTTAAATTCTAAATATATTTAGAGTATGTTCACACTTTGTGTACATTATTCCTAATTTTTTAAAAAAAATGTTTATATCAGTTCTTTTGTCTAAAGCTTACTCATCTTAAAGGCTGTATGTTAAAGTGGGATTTTGTTATAATGGCCTTTCTTTTCTAGGTTGTGCTTGTATAGTAAAGTTACTGTGCTGAAGTAGGTCTTAGCTGTTGAGTTAATTTATTAACAAGTGCTAAATATAACTTGTATGGCTTACCCACAGTTGTGTTGAATGCTGTATGGTTCTATCACAGGAGAAAGGATAGTACAGTATACTTGAAAGTAATTGTGATGTGTAGTATGTAATTACATACAATATGTAATTATTTCATAATAGCACCTTGAGCAAAGTATAGAAAAAGTAATTAAAATATTGTTTGCAACTGCAGTTTTAAAGTTATTGAAATACTTGCCCTTGATAAAGCCAACTTTGATGTAAAAGGTAGATTAATTTTCTTCTCGGTTTTGTTTTATTTCCAGGTGGAGGTTTAGCTGTTGGAACAGTTCTTTTGATTGGTTAGTACAAAATATATGTTTTGCTCATTCTATTAGTTTTCTGTTGTGTATTATGATTTTATGAGTTTTTCTGTTTGGAATCCAAATATGTAAAGTACTTACTGTCTAGGAAGGTAAATTGGAGAGAATTGCTTTAAATTCTAACTTAAATACTGATTTGAAGTTAAACTAGGCAAATATATCTGAAAATGTAGCTCTTATAAACTTAAAGATTCACAGTGCATTGTGCTCTATTTTTAAGACTAAAATTAGCATCAGTTGACTTTTCAAAAAGTCAGTATTTAGAGTGGAATGATCCTGGCAAATGATTTGAAAAACAGAATTTCAGCTTGTGTTTGTGTGTAAATACAGGCACATTCGTATCTGTCACACATTTATCGTTATATTGGCAGAAAACAGCAAGCTAATCATGATGCTGTGCATCTCTAACATGGTGAGATTTCTGATTTAAATCAATAGTCCTGTTTGGCTGATTTTTTAGTGTAGATCACAGAATCTGGGATTTGAGGTAAACCTTCACAGTTACATAACCAAAACTCCACTGTTACTGTTTGATCCATAGTCCTGTCACATCTATTATACCCATTTTGTCCTCTGAAATATTACAGAATGAACATGTGTAGTTCATTCAAATATTTGAAAATAGCTAGTTTATCACCTGTGTTCTGTTGCAAACAAGCACTGCTTCCTAAGCTGGTGTTGTGATTGTAATTTTTACAGACCTCTTTCTCTGCACCGTTCTATTGGTACAACTGCTGGTCTGACTTTTGTTGTGCCTAGAATGGAGTGTGGTACTCTGAATTGAACATGAGCTATACTCACTGAGCCCTGACTATGAAGTGTGGTAATTGAGACGGGCTGATTAGTGCCTGGCAGAAATGAAAGTTAGGTTCTAGTCATTGGCTGCCCTTAGCAAGGATGAGTCGTAAATACTGAGAAAATTTCCATCAAGAGTGGTTACGATGTGAGTGGTGGTGCTTACAAGATGACATGCCCATCAGCGTTTGCCTAGTACCAGCACCAGCTGGGGGAGTCGGAAGCAGTACCCGAAGCATCCTGCGCCTTGCTCTCCTTGCTGTTTGAAGAGCAGTGCACTACCTCCTGGCTTTTAGGAGGATCCGTATATTATGCTGTGTTTTTCATTTCTACACCAACCTCGCAAGGTGCTCATTCCTGTTACCTTTGTTCCGTTCATGGAGAAATGAAGATAGAAGAGTAAAGGAACTTGACCAGTATCACAGTCAGAAAACCACAATGTGAATTGTGCTGTGATTCCAAATCTAGCCATGAGCAGTAAAATAGTTGTAACCCTTTTAAAATGATAGCGTTTTAAGTAGTAAAATAAAGCCCATATATGTGGGGGTTTTGTTTTGTTTTATTGCAGTACTAAGGGTTCATCCCAGGGCCGGGTGCATACTAGACAGGCACTCTGCCGCTTTGTTTTTCAGACAAGTTCTGGCTGGTCTCAAGATCGTGATTCTCCTGCCCGAGCTACCTTTGTAGCTGGAATTATAAGCATACAGCAACACGCCGAGCTTATGTGTTAGATGAGATTGGCTGGGCAGATTAGGAGTCTATTCCGCTGGATTCTGCACTTTTTTCTATTACACAGTGAATAAACTCTGTCTCAGGAAGTGGAGTAGCTCTAAAATATGAATGAATATAGGGATTGAGGGCAGTGGCTTGGTGCCTGCAGCATTAGTGTGTTGCTCAGCATCAAGAAATTATTTTTTATTCCAGAAGTAAGAGAAAATTGAAGTGGGAAAATTATGTGGACTAGGAATTTTTCACTGCGGGTCACCAGCATTTTAATCATTTCCATTGGAAGTGGATTATTCATTTACCAAGGCGGCTGTACGTGTGCAGAAGTGTGGCCTTGCTAAGTAGTGTGTGGTCAGTTTCAGTGGAGACGGGACCTTGTAAACTAGAGGGAGTCTGTTTGGACCCGAATATTGCGAAATAAATGAATGTGGATGCAGGAAAGGCCAATCTCAGGGAAAATCCTTGAAGAACAGATTTTCATTAGGATGCAATCTACTTCTTTAGTACTGCAGTAAGCTTTGAGATGTTTTACATGGAAATTGTTTTTTGGGGGCAGAGGGTGGTTCTTGGGAACCCACGGCCTTCACACTGAGGTGCATTCACAGCCTTCTAGGGAGAGTGTCCTGCTAAATTGCCCAGGCTGGGCTGGAATTTGGGATGCTCTGACTGGGCATCCTAGTGCTGGCTCTGAAATTGCTTTCTGATAAATCTGCATGGAAAGTGAAGTGATAGCAATGCCAGATCTTCATCTGTTTGTACAGATACCCTGAAATATGCTTAATAAATGTCAGGAATTAAAATACAAGTTATGTGACATTCTTAGTAATCTCTTGCATCAGTTACATGTTTTCAGTTCTACAAATAGCAGTTAGCGGACACTCTGTCAGACTGGGAGTTACCATTGCAGATGCCCTGACTTCATCTGATAGACCCAATGTGAGTCTTAACACCTCGAGTCAGCCACTGCCGTCGAGGACCACCTGATGCTGTTATGTTCATCCTCTCTTCTCACATAAGGGCAGACACTCAGTCTGGGAGTTCCCACTGGTCCTCTTCCCTTCTGTATGGGTCAGCGTGGCAGGCAGCACCCGTAAACTCCTTTGTAAGCCCACAGCCAAAGTGCCAGCCAGGCTAGGGTCCCTGTTTTTTGATTTGTTTTGATGTTCGAGCCAGGGTTTTGCTGGCCTGGACCTTGCAGCCCTTCTGCCTTAGGCTCCTGAGGACAGGGATTACAGGTCCACTCTGTGTGGCTTTTCCCCTGCAGCCTCCCCGCTGGGCCAGTAGCGCTCGCAGACTCTGCAGCTGACCGCTCCTGGCCTTGCTCAGTGTGGCTTCCTGCTTCATCACCACCTGGAGGGAGACAGCGCTCAGCGTGGGCCGAGCTGACCTTGGTAATGGAGTGGCAGTGTCACCCTGCCCTGTTTCCTTTATCAGGAGTGAGTCACTGCCCTGTGATCCTTGGGGAAGAGGTTGGAATGCATGAGGACGGTGACCATGAGATCCCTAAAGAATGCACTGTCGACCCATCACCATCCTTGTCTGTCCCATCTGCTCTCACAGGATATTATGGTATTTTCTTGTCAGTTGTCTTCAACACTTTCTGCCTGGCTGTTTCTCTTCTATATCACGCAGCGCATTTTGAGCATTTCCCTTTGTAGAGAATCGGCTGCCCAGCTGGCCCCATCTCTGTCGTGATGTCTGTAGGACCCAGCCATGCCTTCTTATTTGCACATGGTCTGTGGGACAAGGACCAGTGTGAGGAGGTGCAGCAGAGACTCTGACCCATGCACCTGTAGTACTTTATGGAGTTTTAGGAAAAGCTGGCCAACCTGATTTAGTTTGATATGTTATACCCTTCATTCCACTTGTAGCAGTGTAGTGGAGCTTCACTTTATGACCCAGAGAGGGCAGCCTGTGAGCTTGTGGGGCGTGCAGCTCTTCAGTGAAACTGCCTGGCTTTAGCGTGTGGCACTTCAGTCTCGATGGTGTGTTTGGCAACATTGGGCAATAAAAATGGTGGCTTTTCCCCTTCATGAATTAAGCTGGTTGCTGGTTATGCATACATAACTACTCACAGTGTGTGTGTAATACACAGTTTTAGAAAAATGTGAGAGCTTGGGAAAAGATGTAAACAGAGTCAGATTCTGAGCCGGGCTGAGGAGAGATGGAGACATATCCTGCAGGAAGTGTCACCAGTGTGTGTGGGGGGCCAGCTTTGGACTGTATGTGGGCATTGCTGGGTGGCAGTCTGTTCTGTCTGAGGGACAAACAATGAGCTGAACACAGGCCAGAGAGGTCAGCTCAGCTCCTGAGGCTCAGCCTTAGCTCTTCCTTGTGGAATTCAAATCCTACAACTCCATGGCCCTTGCACCACCTGAAACCAGTGTGCAGAAAACCAGGCATGTGTCTCTGTCCACCAGCAGACTCCTAGGATTTCTGTCTATTTAGCCTTCAGAGCCAACTAAATCCATCCCGCCTCTCCTCCTTGTTTTCTGTGGTCACTGTCTCAGAATTAAGCTCTTCCAAAGCTCTTATCACCGAAATTTGTGTTTATCTCCACCATATTGTGTTTCCTCTTTGGACTCAGTATCCTACTGTTTACTTCCCTTCCAAACCTTTCCAGTTTGACATCTGTGACACCTTTTTCAGAAGGTAAAAACCAACCCTAATATCCTAAAATCTTACCTTTTTTTGGAAACATTTATTTATTGATGATTTTCTGTGTACCAGGCACCATGCAGAGCCCTTGTCATGTGTTTTACTGTTCAATTTCAGAACAGTCAGATAAGGTGTCTACATTTAACAGGTGATAAAATTGAATTAAAAAAAATTTAATTATGCTTTTTGAGAGTATCTTGCCAAGTTGCCTGGGTTGGGCTTGATCTTGGGATTCCCCTGCCTCAATTATGATGTGTGCTACTATGCCTAGTTATAATTAAAGTTTTGGGAGGAACTAAGTAACTTGATTAATGTTGAGATTCATAGTCAAATTTCTTTGATGCTACGCCATTTAAATAAAGACCATTTAAAATGATTTTATCATTTTTAAATTATTTTAAAAATCCCTTCTGAAGGACATGCTGTACCCTTAGAAGGCAGCCCTGCTGACCCCCTCCCTCCAAGCGGGTCCTTCCCTCAGAGTGCATTACAAGGTGAGCTTGTCAGCAGCTTCTACCCTTGAGGTTTGCATCCCCTGGTCCAGACACCTTCCAGAAGCCACACATGTCATTGGACACGGGGGACACTGTAGATCCAACCATAGCAGACCTTGTCTCCTCCTACCTCTGGGGACGGGGATCTGTCACTAGTGAGTCCTCTCCTTATCTTAATCCTTTCCTCTTTTTAGTTCTTATCTGTGTGCACCATAAACACCTCAGATTTTGGTGAATTGCACACTACTGTATTTCTGCAGCACTCGGGAGTTGGAGCCAAGAAGGGCGCAGGTTCAAGGCCAGCCT